CAGAGTAAGCCACCATTTATTTAAGTCTCCGCATGTCCCAGCCCTGAGCTCAGAAGCAGAAAGAGCTGCAAAAACGTAGAAGAAACACCCCTACCTTCCAGGAGCTTCCAACCCAGGAACCATCTACGAGTCCAGCTGACTGCGTCGTGAGGACTCCCACACGCTGTGGGGGAACAGGAGCCCAGGGAAGGGGTTCTTTCCAACTGGAAGATCTGAGCGAGTGGAGGCTGGTGGATGTGAGGAAGTTCCTTCACGAAGGGAGTGTGAGCCAAGGCAGGAAGGCCAAGGGGCAATAACAAGGAAACTTCCGTGAGGCCGGATGTCAGGATGGAGCAGGAGGGAGAGAGGAACAGCAGTAACAGATAAAGACATTTATTTAGCACCTATTACATGTCAGGGGCTTTGTATATACTATTTCACTCAAACTTTACAGCAATCTTAAACAGTAATTAATAGTCCTAATGTACAGATAAGAAACTGGCCCAGACAGGTTAAGAAACCCACATAAGATCCCTTAGCTAATCACTGATGGAACAAATATTCGAATCCAGGCCTGTCTGCTTCCAGAACTCCTTTTTCTCCTCTGCCACGTCCCCTTAATGCAGCTAAGGGTCCTGGACCTGACACTCCAAGCAGTAGGGCAGAGGACACAGGTAGTAAGTAGCATCACCAGCTATTTCTGCTGATTGGTCCCAACCATATCTTACCTAGGCTGCCCCTGCTTCCCTGCCCTCAAAGGCGTGGTTTTGTGGGAAAGCAGACACATTACAGCCACTTTCATAATAACGTAAGAACAACTGCAGTTGGGGCAGAGCGCTGTGGAAACACCTGTCCAGGGAAAGCTTCCTAGAGGCGTCTCAGCTGTTTGGAAAGAGGAGTAAAGTTGAGGAGGTGGGAAAGGACATTTCAGGCAGAGGAAAATGAAGTCCAGAGGTAGCCGGACAGAAAAGGAGGCCAGGAGGTTTTGGAATGCCTTGCCGAGGAGCTGGTAGACCCTGAGGCTCCCAGAAACCCCTGCAATGATCCGGGAGGGTGTGTTGCATCTGCATGCTAGAAAAGTTCAGGAGTGCCTGGGGGAGGGGGGGGGGGAGATCGCAGGGGGTAGAGCAGCTGGTTAGCAAAGGTTTAGGTGAGAGCCAGGGCCTGCACGGGACAGGAGCAGCAGGAATGGAGCAAAGTCCGCTTGAGAAATATTTAGGGGGTAAACACATCAGGATTTGGTGGCTACCAGTGAGGATTAGGGAGCGAGGAGTCAACTGGTGAGAGACACCTGCGGAAAGGAGGAAGGGTGGAGGGAAGATCGGTGGACCCAGTGAGAGTGAGCCTGTGGGACAGGAGCAGGGAGACTTGGAACAGTGGGGCATGGACTTAGAGCTCTGGGGAGAATCCAGATAGAGACAGAAACTCAGCATGGTCAGCACACAGGTGCTTGTTAAGCCACAAGATGGATCAGATGACCCAGGAGGACAGGCAGAACCAGCAGAGCAGCGAGAGAAGCAAAAGTCAGAGACGGGAAGTGAACGGGAAGTGAAGAAAAAGGAGAGTGGTGGAAGTCCCAGGGACAGAGAGGCAGACCATGTCAAGTGTTAAGACAGGAAGAGTCAAGATCAGGAGTCTTCACCTGTTTGGGCACAAGACCAGGTAGATGACAGAATGTCGGGCATGCTGCTGCAGACACGATCCCGGGATGAACAGATAAAGTAGAGACCATTACAACAAACCTGGTCTCAGAATGGAAGGCGATAAGGCAATGGCCGGAGGGAGACAGGGTCATGGGAGTCTTGTTTAAGGAGCAGGACTTAATGCAAAGGAAGAGAGCCAGGGAAAATGGCAGGTGCATGGGAGAAGACGAGCGAGCGTGCAGGGACGTGAGGGACGAGAGGTGGGCGAGAGCACAGGTGGAGGACGCAGGCGCAGCATGGAGCAGCACTGCCAGTGGAGGGAGCTTGTCTGTTAATGTGCAGGGAGACGGCACAAAGGGAGGAAATAAACTCTGAGCCCTCCAATGTCCATGAAGCAGGAGGCCAGGGCATTGGGCTACTGCAGGGGGATGAGAAATGGACAGAAGCAGGTTTCTTAAGGATTTTGAGGAAAGTCATTTAGAGAATTTGCTGAGCAAAATGGTGCAGGGAGCTTGACTTAGGACAAGTAGGAAGGGTTGTCAAGTGACATACACTCAGTTGATGCTGGAGACCATGAATAAGGCAAGACAAAATCTATGCACACCGGTGGGGTTTCCAGGAGATCGCAGGGTTTCAGAAGTATAGACAGAAGTGGGTTGTTTGGTGACATTTCATCAGACACAAGTAGTACTGGCGGCCAAGGTTGCTGGGAAAGAGAGGGATTGAAAGGTGTGAGGCTGAAGTATAGCAGTAACGGGACAGAAGGTGTGAGCGTCAGAGAGGACGGGATATTGGGAGTTAAGATTCCAGATGTGGTGTTGTTCGGAAGCATGACAAGGACATGGCAGCTGAAGAGATGGAAATGAGAGTAACAAGTTAGAAGGCCAACATATAAGGAGGCTGTGCTGGCTCAAGTCAACCAAGGGTCAGGTATGGCTTAAGTTCAGGAGGAAAATTGTAGATTAAGTGACAAGTCTTCAATGAACACGGGAGAAGTTGAGATGGTAGAGAGGGTGGCATCTGCGATGGGGTTAGCCTTGAATCATGGCAGAGTAAGCACTGCCTTTGCATGACTTCGTCAGAAAGTCACCAGGAACTTGGGGTGGTGAACACACAATATAGTGTACAGATGATGTGTTATGGAATTGTGCCCCTGAAGCCTGTATAATTTTGTTAACCAGTATGACCCTAATAAATTCAGTGAAAAGGAAAAAAAAAAAAAAAGGAAAGATTCAGGCAATCTAAGAGTGCATTCTTACAATGACAATGCCACTTAAGCAAAATAGTACATGGTCACTCCAATCCATCCTCAGGCAGAGATAGGATGGCATAGTTTACAACATAATGAAGTCCTTCCTCCCCACCCCATCCTTTCAACCCAAGTTTAAAACTGTACATGACCTAAGAGAGGGAAGAACTGTGCCAGGAAGAGTGCCATGGCGGTTTGGTGACAATTCTGAATTGGGCTGTGGTTCGCTGAAGCGTGGAGAGAAGAGGCTGATGGTCTTGCACCTCTAGGCTGCTGTTTTGTCAGCAGCTGCTGACCCACCATGATAATGTCTTTGCCAAGTCTTCTTGGGTTTACCCTCCCCATCCAAAGCACCCGTGTCACAGGGGGAAAGTGACCAGGAACACAGCAGCACCTGGATCCCAGATATAGACACACTCCCTAAAGGAGCTCCAACGTTGAGAAATTGCGTTCTGATTGACACAAAACAGAAAAGCAAGTTGTTTATTCTACTTTTAAAAAATATATATATTTTATTGATTTTTTTTTTTTTACAGAGAAGAAGGGAGAAGGAGAGGGAGAGAGTTAGAAACATCGATGAGAGAGAAACATCAATTCAGCTGCTTCCTGCACACCCCCTACTGGGGATGTGCCCGCAACCAAGGTACATGCCCTTGACCGGAATCGAACCTGGGACCCTTCAGTCCGCAGGCCGACGCTCTATCCACTGAGCCAAACCAGTCAGGGCTCTACTTTTAATAGAAAGTAATCCACCTAGCTCTGAGATTAAAAACCTATTGCTGATGACAAAAAGTCTGGTCGGCAAATGAGTTCTCATTTGCTCTAAGACACCATGTGAGTACTGGGCCCTGTCTGTAAGCTTTAGCCCCAAAGCTGGCAGTGGATGCAAAGCATAAGCACAGAAGTGGAGAGGTGTGCAGGCAATGAAAAGGAACCGAGCAAGGAAAAGGAACGGTGAGAAGAAACCCGAACCAGTCCTGGGGAGCATAAACTTTTCCTGCCCAAGTTGGGCACTCCACTTCCCATCTCCGCTTACTCCTCTAACCCGAGCACTGGCAGTGCTCGGCCCATGGGATAGCTGAGAAAATGCAGAGTTTAGAGGTTCCAGGACTTCGCTGATGTTACCTGGATGATAAATGGCATGACCAGGACCCGAAGTCAAGTTTTGAGGACTCAAGTCTGTCCTTCCCACTGATCAGTTCCACAGCTGTCCTACCTTCCAAAGCCTGAAACTCCCAAATAATCTCCAGGATTAGTCCCCAAATTAAGGTGGGAATTCTGAACAAGGAAAGGGTCATAAAAAGCAGGCTGGAGGGTGGCACATGATGTTAGAAAACAAGTACTGAGAAACCTCAACTATCCTCAACAACAGTTTCAGTGGATTAATTTGATGAATTTCCAAGGCTAAAAATACCCTTTTTGTCCTCAGTGTTATTGGCTTGTCCCAAATGTTTACAATTTTATCACCTGACTTATTTTATCTACTCCCTTTTCATATAGAAATTAACACAGAAAAAGCTAAGCGCTGCACTGGGCACTGTGTGGTCTGTTCAACTCTCCCAGGCCTTTATCTGATGAGGTTGGGCCCCGCCCTCTCTACTTCCTAGGACTAGATTAGAACCAAGACAAGTATTCGTGAGCCTATCTCCCCTCCGTACTGCAGGCTTCATGAAGACAGCTGTTTCTCTTGCTCACACTGCAAGAGCAGGTACTCACAAGCGGGGCAGGAACACTGGGCTCACCTAATCCTAGTTCTGTCCTCTTTAACAAACGAAAAACCCCTATTCCGCTCACTCTCGCAGAGAAAAGGTAAGTCCCAGTCCACTAGAGCTCTCCCCATTCCACCACACTAACCTGCCTCACACCCACCAGCACGGGAATAAGACAACATCCTGTTTCTTCCAGGGCAGTAAGTATGCTGTGAAACAAGTGTGGTGGTGAGTTACATTGGGTTGAAGGAGAATTTTCTGCCCCTTCTGCTCGAGTGTGCAGGTTGCATTCATTTGGAAGGGCAGTGGCAGGAGCAACTGCCATACAAATAAGTTGATGTAGCTGCTTTGAAGGGGCATTCTAACAATAAACTAGAGAAAAATGAGGCTCGTCTATTATTATTATTTGGGGTGGAGGGGAGGAGTGCCAGGACCAACAATCACCAGCTGCCTAAATAACAAAAAAATTTGCTTCTGAAATCTCTTGATGTCGATTGTGCACGTGAACAATCAAGCTGCCCTACCCTACGTGTGCCACTCCAGACAGAGCCCTTTTTTGAGGTTCATCTATTATTAAAGATTTCAATTTCCCTTATACTTATGGGCAATAACCAGGTTCATTTACTGTAATAAACCACTTAGCCCCACAAAAAGACTTTGACTAAGACCTTTAGGTGGGCTTAATAGACATCTACAGTTAGGCCATTTCACCATAATTTAACCCCATATCTAATATATGCATTGATTTGGAGAGTTATCCCTTTAATAGCTCATATTTCATAGATCCCACAATTAGGGAAAAATAATTATAGTTTAAATGATTAAGAAAACCACACATGCCCTGACCGGTTTGGCTCAGTGGATGGAGCGTCGGCCTGCGGACTGAAGGGTCCCAGGTTCGATTCCGGTCAAGGGCATGTACCGTGGTTGCGGGCACATCCCCAGTGGGGGGTGTGCAGGGGGCAGCTGATCGGTGTTTCTCTCTCATCGATGTTTCTGACTCTCTGTCCCTCTCCTTTCCTCTCTGTAAAAAAATCAATAAAATATATTAAAAAAAAAAAGAAAGAAAACCGCACACTTCTGTAATTTTTCATTTAACTTGTACTAATCCAAACTAGGGGCAACTAATTTAGATGCACACACATGAATTTTCATCTTAACTTTCCTAAATATTTTATTGGAAACTCAGCATGGATCTGAACTGGAACAGAGGCTTTGCAGCCGAGCAAGGGCAGGAAATGCTGGCGCTAGCTGCAAACCCCAATACTGCCCTGCAGTGAGACCATGAGCTCCTCTCTGGGCAGATTTCCTTGAAGACTGGCCCCACCCATGTCAACCAGTCTCCATACCGTAACTGATGCAGAGCAGGGCAATTTCATGAGGCAGCTAAATTAGTTTGTGGTAAAGGAAATTATTTTTGATGAAAATTCAATATAATTAACACCCAGCTGGCATGGCTCGGTGGTTGAGCATCAACCTATGAACCAGGAGGTCAAGGTTCGATTCCCAGTCAGAGCACATGCCTGGGTTGCAGGCTCAATTCTCCCCAGTGTGGGGCATGCAGGAGGCAGCACGATCAATGATTCTCTCTCATCATTGATGTTTCTCTCTCTCTCCCTCTCCCTTCCTCTTGGAAATCAATAAAAATATATGTATTTTAAAATATATGTAATACAATTAACAAGGAATTCAGTGGCATACATTTTAGAATTGTTACTTATAAAGTTGTATCTGATATATCACATTTAGGAATTTCATACAAATATGCCCTTAAAAATTACGATCACTTCTTGTTTGACAATGCTTCCTATATAAATGAACATATCAAATAAGCCTAATTAGTTTACTATTTTTTTCATAATGATAGAGAACATATATTTTGAGATTTTTTCCAAGGGCACTCTGGAAAATCCCAATGTTAGTCCAAAGTCAAGAAGACTTTAGCTGTCAGTCTTATGGGGAGCTCCCTTGTAGGCAACTGCTTTTCTCTTGCTGTTAAGATTATCTCTGTCTTTAACGTTTGTCATTTTAATTATTAAGTGTCTTGGTGTGGGCCTCTTGGGGTTAATCTTGGTTGGGACTCTCCTCCAGAGTCATCCACATTTCCTCAACCATTAGTGAGCTTTGACTTCTTGGAGATTCTAGAAAGATTTATATAGCTCTTATGATTCTAATGGTCTACTTCTGTAGTTGACATTAATTTCCACAGTAGACTGGAAGCTTTGTACAAAGTTGAAGCTTTTATTTATTTACTAGAGGCCTGGTGCATGACCCGCGGGTCCCTCGGCATGGCCTGCAGGGATCGGCTGAAACCACAAGGGGTCCCAGATTGCAAGGGCACAGGCCAGGCGAGGGACCCCACCAATACATGATCGGGGCTGGGGAGGGACCATGTGAGGGCTCCAGGGCGTGTCCGGCCCATCTCGCCCAGTCCTGATGGGCCAGACCCCAGCAGCAAGCTAACCTACGGGTCGGAGCATCTGCCCCCTGGTTGTCAGTTCGCATCATAGCGACTGGTTGAACTAACGGTCAGACACTTAGCATATTAGGCTTTTATTATACTAGAGGCCCGGTGCATGAAATTCATGCACTGGGGGTGGGGGGTGGGGGAGAGGAGTTTCCCCTCAGCCCGGCCTGCGCCCTCTCGCAGTACGGAGCCCTCGGGAGAGGGTCCCACCACCGCCGCTGCACTGGCCAGCCATGAGCCTGCCAGCTGTGAGCCCGGCTCAGGGCTTTTGGCTGAGTGGCGCTCCCCCTGTGGGAGCACACTGACCACCAGGGGGCAGCTCCTGCATTGAGTGCTGCCCCGTGGTGGTCAGTGCATGTCATAGCAACCGGTTGTTCCGCAATTTGGTCAATTTGCATATTAGCCTTTTATTATATAGGAGGACTAGGGGCCCAATGCACGAATTCGTGCACCTTGAAAGGAACTGTGGGCCACAAGGCTGAGGTGGGCACAGGGCGGGTCTCAGCCCATCCTCTGCACCCCTACCTGGCCCCTACTGCCGTGGTCCCTGGGCCCGTCAGTCAGCAGCCCTGCTCCTGCCACCACCACTCCCATGTGCTGACAGCGCCAGCCCCCTCGCACCCGCTGACAGCACGGAGCGATTGAGGCCGGCACAAGCAGTGGGTGCAAGCAGCGGATGCTGCCCTGATTGTCCCCAGGAGCAGGAGGAGGTGGAGAAGCCCTCAAGGGCGATTGGGGCCAGCAGCCGCTGCTCCCACCCGCTGATGGCGCTGAGCAATCAAGCAATCGGAACCAGCACCGGGAGCCGACAGAGGGTGCAAGTGGTGGCTCTGCTGCCGGCAGTGGGTGTGAGTGACAGCTCCAGAGCTGCAGCAGGTGCGAGCGGCGCTGTCATTGGTAGTGGGTGCAAGAGGCGGCTGCCGGCCCCGATCGCCCCTCAGGAGCAGGGGAGGTGGAGAAGCCCTGAGGGGCAATCAGGGCCGGTGCTGGGCACCGGCAGCGGGTGTGAGCGGGGCCAGCAGCAGGTGCGAGCACTGGGCAGGACTACGGCATGCGGGAGCAAAGAATTTTCAGTAACCACCAGAGGCTTACCCCAATGACAGTGACCGGCGCCCCCACTCACTTGCTCCACTATCCCACCACGGCCGATGCCTGCCATGTTCCATGTGTGTCCCCTAGTGGTCGGCACACATCATAGCGAACAGTTGTTGGTCCGCTGTTCAGTCTATTTGCACATTAGCCTTTTATTATATAGGACACGATTTACTTATTTATTTGATTTCAGAGAGGGAGAGGGAGAAATAGAAACATTAATGATGAGAAGCATGCCCCCTACTGGGGATTGAGCCTGCTACCTGGGCATGTGCCCTGACTGGGACCGGAACAGTGACATCCTGGTTCATTGGCCCTCGCTCAACCACTGAGCCATGCTGTTAATCTTCACCTGAGCATATTTTTTCCATTGATTTTTAGAGAGAGTAAAAGGGAGGGAAGAAACAAGGGAGGGAGAGGGAAAAGGAGGCAGAGAGAGGCGGGGGGAGGGGGTGGAATGTGAATGTGAGAGTGACACACTGATTGGCTGCCTCTCACCCATGCTGTGATGGGGCTGGGAATCAACCTGTAAAGCAGGTATGTGCCTGGAAATTGAATCTGAAACCCTTTTGTGTATGGGCTGATGCTCTAACCACTGTACAACCAGCCAGGGCCAAAGTTGGAGCTTTTGAGACAGGTGAGAGGGTCAAGCACTACCCCACAGAACTCCTCTGTCAGTGCTTTCCACCTCTAACTCCATGTGCAAAGCATTGAGCTGTAGACAGACATAACCATGGCCTGTGGAAGTGGGAAGGGTAAAAACACTGGTGGTGTAAGAGAAATACCAGATTAAGTGATGTTAAATCATCTGTCCTGGGGGCGGGGGGGAGGACTCTAGAAGTTCAGAGGGAATGCTCATTGGTCCAATTCATTCTGCTCAAACAGAGCATAATAAAAGTGAGATTATCTCTACATTTAAAGCTTCATGTCTCTGAAATTGCAACTTAACCTTATCTTTTAAATTGATTTTCACTTTTAGCAGCAAGTGCAAGCAGGCTAGAGCTCATTCAGGACAGTGCATGTCAAGCCAAAAGATACTCCACAGCTAAAGAGAGGAAGACAAGAACATCTCTCACCACAGAAAACTGGAGGCCAGTCTAACAGGTCACCTGCTCCAGGGCAAGTTAAAACAAAAAATACTATTCATGAGCAGGTGCTAGGATAGCATTTAGGAGCACCTCACACCTACCACCTTCCTGACAATTTGAAAAACCCTTTCAGCTTTCTCCACGCTTGCCTGTGTAGTCTACAGATCTGTGACCAGAAGCTAGACTACCTAATTGGGTACTTTCCCTTTTTCTTTTCTCTAAGGGGAAGTATCAACAACTTGCAAAGACATTTTCCCATCATTTAAGCCACAAAAATTCTCCCACAACTGGTTTTCATATGTGAAATATTTCTGCAGAATTTACAAGCTAGAAAGGACATATTTCAACAGACTTGACTTTGCCAAACTGTGTGGGTGCAGCATTCCAAGGGGAATTACTCAGTTTTTAAATCTCAGATTCAAAATGATCTAATTTTTCACTACTTTACAATAATATTCTCAAAATTCACGTCCCATGCCACTTAGAAAAATAAATAGGAATTAAGACTGATCAAGTCACTTAATCAAAATGCAAATATTTCCCTAATATGGCCCCATAAGGACACCAACTTGTTTTAACAAGTTGGATCTAAGATTAATGTATTACAGTTCATATAATCAGGGGCTTCAACTGCAAGAACACTACCCAAAAGACAAGAGTAAACATGGAGAACATACACGTTCAGGACATTCACGTGGGCCAAACGCGCACAGCAAAGACACACCGTCCCAAGTTTTCAGTTTCTCATGGCTTTCTTTAAAAATCAGCGCACCTTTATTTCTATTGCTTGAAACCAGGCCCAAAGAGCAAACGGGCAAAACCACTTGGCTGCAATGCAGCTAGCTGTTCAGGAAGGTTCAACTTGCCCCGCTAACTCGTGCCAGGAAAAACCTAGGCTCTGCGGCAGGTA